ACTTCAATAACTTCCTTCAAGTAAATGATAATCTATAGACAGGTCACAGTAAAGGACACAAGGCTTCACCCTCTAATCTTGGTAAACTTAATTTTGGCAACAGGTAGGATGGAGGGAGAAATGGACAAAGATCCTCCTGGCCCTGCAGCCAGCCCCCCACATCCTGGGGTTTGGATTGCTGAGAAGTGAGTTCGGAATGGTTGGGAGCTACAATTTCTGCAGCTCTGAGCCCACTACAGCAGCAGACAACTCGTACCCTCTGAAGGAAATGCAGATGTACAAGTTTCTGGTGTAATCACTGTCTTGCCACTGGATACAGCTGGCAAGGACTATTTCAAAATATTCATCTTGAAATGCTCTGTTTATTCAACTTAAATATTTTGAAAGAAAGTGCTAATAATGACAGGATTTGAGCTTTGAAATTAATGTGTTTTTCCCTTTAATTGCATTGCATTGTAAGAATTAACAAAATTTCTTCCTTTCAAGAAAGGAGAGAAAATCAACAACTTATTCAAAGCAGTGTGAACTGGAAGTTGATTCAAGTCAACTGGAAAAATCCCAAATGATGTCCTACTGGTTGATGTTGCTGCCCAAGGAGCCTCTCCTCTGTCATGGAGGGGAATGAATGGGTAACAGGGGACAACTGACCTGTGAAGGTTTGTGCATCTAGAAAAGAACTAATAAGTGGAAAAAAGCAGAAGTTCTGTTGGAAATAACACTGAGTCTTGAAACAAAGTCCTGGTGCTGGTAGCAGTTCACCCCAGCACATCCTGGGGAGTTAAAACTTGTGTCAGTGCTGGGCAACTGCAGTTCAGGGGTGTCTGTGCCTCTCCAAGCTGCCCTGCTGGCTCTGACTGCTGGGGGTCCTCAAAGGAGCTGGAGAGAAGGGAAGGATCCATGAATGAATCCCAGGAATGGCATTCAGCATTCCTGTTGGGCTACACCATGAACTGGCAAGGAAGTTCAAACTGGAATCTGCCTCCTGTGTCTCTGCCAATAACCACAGAACCTGTGCTTGCTTTTAATAAAACCAGAGAGTCATTAACGTTGGAAAAGACCTCTAAGACCATTGAATCCAACTGTTAACAATATTGGCTCAACAGTATGTGGCTGGGGGATAAAAAGTTGTATTGCTTTAAAAATTTACTAATTTACTGAATTCAAATGAAAGTGGGATTTAGTGAAGCAAGCCGAGGGTTTGTGTCTGAACATCTGGCTGTAGATGTGACCACTATTGTGTGTCAGGGATCTGCAGGACTCTGTTCCACCCCTGTTGGAAATACCATGCCAGCAGAGGTCTGGTTTGTGTCAAAACAAACACTGGATACGTATTCAGCAAGAACAGTAATGAAATAGTTGGCTATAAAAACCCTTCTGTTCTCAGAACTAAAATGTGATGCACTTATAACAGAAAGGGCACTTTTTGTAAGACATTGAAGTCTTCTTTATATGTTTTGAATATATTTTACTAAATCAGTTGCCTGGAAATGGAGTTTAATTCTGGAATTCAATGAACGTTGAACAGTCGTTTCCTCTCTGCACTGTTGGTTGTTTTACAGGTACTTCACATGCACCTTCTTCAGTCATGTCTTCTGAGAGCCAGTGTTACATGGATTTATTTGGATGGGAAATGGTTCCTCAGTTGGGATTATCCTTTTTGTCTCTCTCTGGATTATTTTACCATTCATAACTGCAGGTAGAATTGCAGAGGTGCATCGCTGGTTAATGCAGTGGTGTCTGTCCTCTGCCTCCCTCTCCAGTATCTCCCCCAGTGTGTTAACTGCATTTTTTCAATGATAAGAATTGATTTGGAAAATCACTCTGACAACTCCTCTGCAAAGTGCTCATCAAGGAGTCATCAAGGACTCCGGTTCTTGCCTTCTTGGCATGTCTTTGCATTGTCGAAATTTTATTGTCCAGGCTTTGTTGCAGGACCTCCTGATGCTTTCTGCATGGTTGGTCTGAATAACTCTGTCAAAAACTGTCTTAAGGATCCTGGAAAAGAACTGGATAACATTTGGCAACTATGAGCATCCTGTGAGTCCTTTTGGACTTCTTTCCTTTCTGGAAAACATCCATTCTTCCCTAGCCTTTAAACAACTGTTGGTACAAAACCAGTCTTGGACTTAATTCTTGTCCTGTGTCAGCTCAGTATGTTTAAGTGCCTTCATAAAGGCACTGCTGAAAGATGCATTTAAGTAAAATAATAAATCTGTGGTGTATCAACAACAGATCTTTATCTCTCCTGTTGATGCCTTAACATTTTTAGATTTCCAGGGCAAGAGCTCTCTCTGCTCTTATCTGAGTGTTTGATCTACTTGAGACTTTAATAACTTTTATTAGTTATTTTATAAGTTATGTAAGACATTTAGTAAGTTTTTTATTCAGTGCAGTGCTGTGATGGGTTTTTTTTGCTCCATAATCATTCCTCCTGTGTTTTACTCCACAGGAATCCTGAGGAAAATCACATCCAGCTGCTCTGTAACTGAACTGTCTGACCAGCTGCTCCAGGGCAACATCCAGAGCTCCATCCCTCTGCTCCTTGGCTGCCTGGTTGAGCCCCAAGAAGCTGTTCATGGTGTCTAAAAATGATACCTCTGCCCTGTGTCCAAGTGTGTGTCCCACTGCACACGGCAGACACGTCACCTCTGTTCCCATCCCAAGCCAGAAATCTGGGCTCCCATCCTCAGGAAATCACCCTCTGCGGCTTTTTCAGCCGAAAGGTTTGTTTTAAACAGTGCTCAGAAGTGGTTTTTCACAGGCTGTGAGACAGTTTGTGTTACACTGACCCTTTTTTGTTCTGTTTCAACAGCTAAAAATCAGGGGTGATTTCTGTGGTGTTGCCTAAGGATGCATCTCACTGAGTTTGTCTTACACTCTAAACCAGCTTCTGAGCAGCTCACAGCCTGTTCAGAACAATCTCTTCTCTGCAGTGCCTGGCCTGGGACATGCCAGAGGAAGGATGCATTTCCTCCAGCAGAAAATATCAAGACTAGGGACAAACCAGCAAACCTTTCTGTCTGTTCAGAGTGTGTGTTTGGATCCTCATGTGCCCTTCTACCAGTGTAATGCACAGAAAATTTCCAGGGCAAACAAACTGCGACTGCACTCCCCTTGTTCATGGCTGGGCACATTCCTGTGACCAGGATTGATCCAACAAGCAGTGGTGGAGCAGAGCTGGCTGTAGAGCTCAGCCACCAGCTAAAATCTGCTGAGTGTGTTTGAGTCTTTGTCTAGAGCACAGATTTAGCTTAGAATGGGAGAGGACTCCTGGACAGCTCTGGAGAATCAGCCCTTTTCTGTGGTGTGGATGCATTGAGGTCATCGTGGTTGATCCTTGGGTTCACAGTGGTGTCAATGTGGACCAATTTAATTTAGGCAAAGATGCCAAACTGCACCAGGGCTAAACCAAAGGCCAGGATTTGTTACTCTGGCTTTGCTGTTTGGGGCAGATAAACTGTCAGTATTTAGAACTGAGAGGATTCCTTGTAGCAAAGCACGGGAGACTCGAGGTGTGGTTTGAGCTGTTCGAATTTCTCTACTGGATTAAACTGGGCACCTCTAAAGGTCTTCTTTAAAAACAAAGAAGAGAAAGCTCCTGTTTAACCTCCTGGAGGCTCATCAAACCCCACAGCTGTCACGGTGCCCAAGATCTAATTTTAAATGGGCCAGGAGCAAAGTTGGGGGTTAGTGCAGACACTTTTAACTGTGTCCTTTGGGTACCTAATTTTTGTGAGGTGTAATGTTCTTGTCCTGTCAGCGCAGAATCACAGAATATTCTGGGTTGGAAGGGACCCACAGTGAACATCCAGTCCAGCTCTTAAGTGAATGGCCCCTACACAGGATTGGCATTTTTAGCACCAAGTTTTAACCAGCTGAACTAATCTCATGGTCATCAGTCACCAGCACATCTTCATTTTACTGAATAACAGCCCCCCAAATCATAAGTCTTGGAAGTTTTACTGGCACACAAATTGGGTTTGTGTTTTTAGCAGTTGTCTTTCCTTCCCAAAAGGAGCTGCAGGCAGATCCTGTCCCTCAGAAACTGCTGGGATCAAGGCTTTGTGACCAGGTTTGCAGCAAACCCTTTTTGCAAGAATGCCTGTTTAAACTCGTGAGAAAAATAGACCACAGTAGACATTCAAGAGAAACTTGTAATTCCTGTTGGACACCAAAACAAAAAACTAAAATTTTTCAATGCCTTTGTCCCACAAACCCTTTCCTAGAATTATGAGAAATATAGGATTTATATTTCTCTGGGAAAAATGGAAAAATAAATCAATATGTGGTAAGGCAAATTGCAGGAGGAATTTTAGCTCAATGGATCTGTCCAGGCTTCCCCTTCTGCTGCCTCAACTCTTCAACACTTCTGTTTAAGGTACACACAGAGTGAAAGAGCCAATGCAGAGCATTAAAGAAATGTTGAAAGGCACCATTTTTCCTAGCAGTGTGATATTTTGACATTGCCATCCCCTTCCTTTTTTCCAAGCCTGCCAGGGAATTTGGTCTCCACAAAATATAGTTTGCAGTGAATTTGAGTAATTTGTTAAAGATGTTGCTGTAATATTTCCCCTCTAGTTCTTTCCCCGAAGCTTTAGACTGAAAAGTTTTAATGTCATATTTAAATAGAAGCACAGCTATAAATTTCCAAAGGGTTCCCAGATTCTGAGTCTGACAATTAATACATTTCTGTCCTTTTTTTTGTCTTTTATTTTCACAGTTGGCAAACTTTACAGGCTTATTCTGCAGGTCTGAAGAAAATCTTGCTCCTGTTTTCAACGAATGCTGTAGTGGATTCTTGGATAAAATAATTTGAACAGATTTTGCTCATTGGACTGTACTGGCAAAACCTTAAGCTTGTTTCTTAAGTGTTAATCTGAAACAAGGACAAAATCCCAACTCTGGGCCAAACATTTGCCCTGACTGTGGGATGGGGACAGGGCAAGTCAGGATGGGCTCGTGCCCACGAACAGGTTGGGAGCAAACCTAGATCAGGAAAAAAATGGTTTCACTTGTTTCAACAATGAAATCATTAAAATGGCTTACAAATAATTTTTAGATTTATAAAAAACGTTATATTTTAATACTAATTATGAATAAAAATCCTCGTTGAAGTGCCACACAACATATTATTGCAGCCAATTATCCCACCTGGAGTGTGCAAGGGCAAGCACACGAGTCAGGTTGTGCAGGACACGGACCGTGATTCACTCCCTGGATTTCCTGAGCTGAGCTCCCACGTGGAAAACTCCGTCCACAACCCCCCTGGGGAGGATTGGCAGCATGGCAGCGAGAAGTCAAGGGAGCTGTGGGGCTCAGAGTCTTAAAAAAAGGGATCTGGGAGATTCCAAAAATGACCTCAAGCTCTTGCAGCACGTGGGCATTCGAAACACAAACCCCGTTACGGTAACAGAGGTGACTGTGCTAAACATGCAAGGATTTCATTTTCGAGTTATTAAAAACAAAGTAGTATTTATTTAAGATTCTTTCTGAAGGAAATACATTTAAAGTTTCCATTTTGGACAGGGAAGTGAGAATCCTTTTTGTCAGTAATTAGTTAAATGTCAGATTGGGGAGGTTTGTGACTTCTGTAAAATCTGTCCCTGGAAGTTTTTTATTCATCAAGACTTTCTTTAAGATGCTTTTTCTTTTTTTTTATCCAGCAGCTGAAACAGGTTTCTCTGCCAGCAAGGGCTTTATTTCTTCAGACTCACCGAAAATCTATAAAATCCAACATTGCTAATCAGGCAAGGACAATCTGAATTGCAATTTGGTTGTTTTGGTTTTGAGTTCCCCCCCCCCCAGATGTATTACTCAACACACATACATATTTTTATTTCGTTCACAAATCAATTTGAAGTTTCAAACTTTGGCCAGATTTTCTAAAAACTAATGAAACCCAAGCAAAAATTACGATGTGCTTTCGTCAGCCACGTAAAGCTCAGGTTATTTTTCTGCCCACAGAACATGGAAGGAGGGAGGGACAATTTAACCTGAAAAAGCTCTCCTTTTAAGTGTAGCTTGTGTCTTTTCAGCCTGAGGAATGTTGAAATGCACTGTGAAAAATCAATTTCATATATTAAAGGAAAATACGGCATTTGAAACACGAAACTAACAGCGTAAAACTTATCTGGCATTTTGGAAACTGAAAGCAAGATTGAATAAGGAAAAAATTTAATAAGTATATGGGAGCCAGGAAAGTAGATTAAAACAATAGTAGATTAAAACAACTCAGTGGACTTTACATGAAACAGAAAGTGTGGTTAAATTATACTTTAATTCTTTGAGAAAAGCTTTTCAACAAATACTTTAAATCAGAATGTTACAAGTGTTATTTTAATAACTCAAAACTTCCTGTAAACAGCCAGCTGGCAGGGATCTGTATGTGTGTGTATACACTTTATGTGTATATATAAATATAGATATAAATATAATATATATATATTAATATATATATACTTTGTGGATTATTACATTTTTAAGGATAAAGAGAACCATAATCACAATTTGCATGAGCGTGGCACTTGCTGAGTTTGGATTCTTTAAAATAATCTCCTAGAACCAGACACTTTGGTCATGAAATAACATCAGCAGAGAACTGCCATTTTCACAGGAGCTGGAATAGGTTTTGCATCAGATATTTGTGGCAATTACAGAGAAACACAGTTACTGAAACACTCCCAAAACTCATTCAGTGGAATTTCCCCCCAAATATTAAAAACACCTGTGGTTATGGGGAGGATTTTTATCTTCTCATAAATACCTGAGGAGCTTCACAAATGTCATTCCTGCACTTCCCCTCCCAGGAAAAGCCAACTTTCATTAGCAGAGGGCTTGAAGGGAGTTCAGTTGGTGAACCACAGTCACTTTTAAAAACGAGCTGTGTTATCTCCTGTTTCGTCATGTTCTAAATTAAGTATAATTGAGAAAATGAAAAAAAAAAGGAAGTCCAAAAAACCCCAAATATTTTTTTTATTAGAGCTTTAAAGAGGTGCTTTTTGTATTTCAGGGCTGCATTAGAGCTCGACTTTATTACCATCCCCTCCTAATATGAAATAAATAAAACTAGTGGTCCATATATGTTGCATATTGGAAACACTCCAGTCTCAGTGAGCACAAAGATAAAACAGCAGATGACAATTTTTCCTTATAAAACTGAGAGTTAAACAGTGACTATAAACACTGGTGGGAAACCATAATTTTGAATTTTGTTTCTTCTTTGGCAGTTTAAGCAATGCCCATCAATCCAAGGGTCTTGGCAAATCAGCTCCTTGTATTTTAAAGATATAAAAAATTCTACTTGGAAATTTTATGACTGAATAATAAAAGTTTAATTGAGAATGGCTCAGAAGGTAAAAAAGCTACTACAAAAAAGGAAATATTCTACAAAAAACAGTATGGATTTTAAATTAAAAGATTCTGAGCATCAGTGCAGCATCAACCTGAGCTTTGTGTGGCTTTGTATGGATAACACAGAAATATATTTCTCCTCTTATTTGTGTTAGTGATAATTATCACACACAAATTTGGTGCATCAATCTAAAACAAGTCAGGTTGTTATTTGGGAAAAAAAAAATTCCTACAAAAGATAAATTCCTGGCAAACAGGAAATGTCACATCGAGATCTGTGGGTACAAACCTGTATCTGTGAAGACCTATTAAATATATTTTTAAAAGATTGTGAGATTCCTTTTAAACAAAGTGATTTCCAGGTATTGCAAGAAGAAATCCTTGGTGTTTGCAGCACCAGTTCAAGATATAATATATATATTGAGATATATAAGCACCTATCTTTATAGATGTCTCTAAATTATGAGGTAACGACAGATATTTTCAGCAGCTTGTTCAAGGGATGATTTAGCCATTAAAATAGTCAGCTTTCCTCCAGAATATTGACTTCAGAAATATGGTACACATGAATCATGTTCCTTCTAATCACACAATAACTTTGAGCCTTCACCAAAATCTCCTCTACGTTGACAGCTGAAAAGGAAAACATAAAATCCAGAGCAAGACAAATTCTGGAATAACCAAGAAATGGTATCTTTTTTTACAACATGCAGCATCACTAAAGGATTGGGGAAAAAGAGGCAGGAATTGGAAAGGAAGTGGACAGGATTTGACTTGAGGAACAGACTCAGCTCTGTCCTACCTGAGCAGAGAGCAGCTCCAAATCCCCTCTAATGCAGCTGCAGCAGCTGCTGCCTTTAAGAAGCTGCAGCCTCTCAGGAAATAAGAAATCTGGCACCAGGCCCCCAAAAATGACACACGTAACATAAAAAGGAGGTGGAAAAAATCAACACCAAAATAGTAAAGGCCAAACCCACTCTGCCTCCCCCCCAAATCCACCAATCTTCCCATCTCCCTGTTCAGAAGCTTTTATTGCTGGCTTCCAAATGGAACTCACCTGAAAAGAAAATGCACTGGGGGTATAGTCAGCTTGATTATGTTCTCCTCCAGATGTGGCATCGACTGCAGGGCCATTCAGGGTCTTCTTCCTGGTTCTAATTTGTGGGGGAATTCATGGGACATCTTGATTAATTTGTGGCCCTGTGAAAATCTAAGTAGAGACTTTTCACGAAAGCAACCCGGGTGTTGTGCTGGGAGCAGTGGCATTCCTGGTGGTACCTGAACACAACCTGGCCCAGGCTCCCTCAGAGCCTTCCCTCCTTTGGGCTTTTGCCCAATTCTGTGATCATCAGGATCATCAGTTTCTGATGGATTCTGATTCAGTCACTGATGGATTCTGATTCAGTCACTGATGGACTCTCCCTGTTCAGTCACTGATGGATTCTGATTCAGTCACTGATGGATTCTGATTCAGTCACTGATGGACTCTCCCTGTTCAGTCACTGATGGACTCTCCCTGTTCAGTCACTGATGGATTCTCCCTGTTCAGTCACTCCAGCTGTGCCGGTCCCGCTCCAGTGGGAGCTGGGTTTGCAGATAGGAAGGCTGGAGCTGCTGTCACAGGGGGTCACCAATTCCTACAGCCCTTCCCTTCCAGCTCCTCAGCTCCAGCTCGTGGCTGGCCTGGCTTTGCCATTTCCCAGCCCACCTCTGCACACCAGGACTGGGACCAGCTGGTGCAAATCAAAGCTTGTCCTAATATAGTCTTGGGCAAAGAATAAGAGAAATGTTATGGTTTCAGGCTATTTCTATCCATTTCCAATATAGTCTGGCAATCTTAAACAGGAAGAGAATCAATCCTCTAGCAAATATTTCTCACTGGTAACTGGAAAAGTTCCCAGCAACTGGACCAACTCAGCTTTCTCTTCCTTTTATTGACCACACAGCTCTTGATGTAAATGTTTAATATTAATGTAATTTCTTTGACATATCAGTATTTTTTTCCTGGCTACATTGTGTGATTTCAGACACTCTTGATACCTCTAGTCCCTTCTGCCCCACCTTATTTTAGGGAACAGTCTTTGCAAATTCTAATTTATCTGATACTGGACAGGTATAATCTAAGGGGAGGGATACAGGTAAATAATGTCAGAACAATTATAGGCAAAATATATTTTGAAAGATAATTCACCTTTTGAGAGTAGGCTACATAAGAATTTAATCTACAAACCTTTTCATTAACCAGCTCACTTAATCTGCTAATCCAGACTATTGTATAAAGCAATCTCTATTTTCTCTCATCTTTTGTGAAGCCATGTTATGGCATAAATAACCTCTAATTCCATCAGTGCTGGGAAACACAATATAGTTTAATGCCAAAAATGAAAGGGAAGCACATCACGGATAAGACATGTGGAAATGGAATTGTTAAATGCCATCTCAGGAGGTTTTCTAGGACCAGTGGAAGAAGCTGGTTTTATTGACTGGTGTACAGGAAAAGAAGAATTAACTTCCTTAAACCCACAAGGATGCAGCCATCCAGCTTTTCCTCCCTGCATCATCACTGCTTCCTCCAGGTTTGGAATGTACACTGTGGATTTTCTTTACTCATGGAACTCGTTCTGCTGCAGTCGATGCCCAACACAAACCAATGAATATTCCCAGATGATCTGGACATTTGCAAGGAACTGATTTGGTCTTAAGACAAACAATCTCTTCCACAGATGTCTTCCACAGATGTCTTCCAAAGATGTGCACTTCTTTCCCTCTTCTGCTTTTCTTTATTAAAAAAAAAAAGGTCAGTAACATTTTCTGTGGACAAATCTGTGCTCTCCTCTTCCTTGCCTCTACAAGAAATTAAGAA